CCTAACCCTAACCCCTAACCCTAACCCTAACCCTAACCCTAACCCTAACCCTAACCCTAACCCTAACCCTAACCCTAACCCTAACCCTAACCCTAACCCTAACCCTAACCCTAACCCTAACCCTAACCCTAACCCTAACCCTAACCCTAATCTTATTAATACAGATATTATATACAATCAATAAACTATATACTATATACAACTTGCTGTCTATTTCCGATAAATATAAAGTTACGTGAGGGCATTCTCCATCTGTCAAAAGCAGTCCTTCTCGAAAAGTGTCGAAGAGATATAAGGTATAACAAATGTCATTTTTGGCTAATGGCATCGTCGTTCGGGACGGGATATACATGGAATATTTACTCGTAGCATTAATTGAGTTTATAAAGTCTGAATACCAAAATCCAATGTCAGTAGTAAATTTGATAATAACCGCTTGGCTAAGCTACCCATGGAGACCAAGGGCAAGCAAGGTAGCTGATTATTAAGTTTATGTTCCTTACGCACTTGTTAGCCTAGCAAATTTCCCTCGATCCTTAAACAACGTTTTTGTGATTGTATAACGATGAATGGAAACCCTAGGAACATATATACATAACCACTTGAGCTTAACGTGATTAGGTGTCTGTTCCCGCTTTTGCTTACAGGTTCGCCGAGTTCAAAAAGCTAAAGCTAATCCCTACAAATAACTGCAATCTTAAATTTGTATATGAAAGACAAGAATGTGATTTAACAATACAATCAGGATTCAAAAAATAAGGAGAACGTCTAAAATGGCAGTAGAACGCCAAGGCGTTTACTCAATCAAGCAAATCTCAATATACCCATAATTGATTCGAGGACTTAGAACTTCTTATGCTTTTTTCTAATATAGTATTCTATGGGCAATGGTTTAAGCTTTGAATCACTAAAGTCATAGGCCTTTGTAGGCCTAATTTCAAACATCCAATCAACTAACTATAATTCACGATAGTATTGGACAATTGAGCCTATCGGAGGTCTTGAATGGGCTTTAGATACAGCACTCAGAGCTTAAGTAATTAATTCTGAATACAATTAACTGACTTAGTTTAAAAAGATTCGCTCAGTATCATCAGTCCCACCCAGAAATTTGAATCGAACTCCCTGATTTAAAAGTGCGAGAACGTCAACAAGACTCAGTTTGCAGGACATAGGTTAAGAATAGAATATGGACATGAATAAACTACGGGGTACTTTGTCGAAGATAAGATCTGGATCACTATCAGGCTCCTGGCTTGACATAGCTTGTGTCGCTTATTACACTCATGTGATATGCAGTCTGCTTACGCCCTCCACTTGCCTGATCTGAGTTTGGCATAGCTTGTATCGCTTATTGCACCCATGTAATATGCAGTGGTCCTCGATTATCAAATCCTCGAGTCTTAGTTGCCAAGCTTCAAATGACACATACAACTGCCGCGATTAGTGAAAATCACCGATTTTCAAGATTGAAAACGTCTCTTTGATGGCTGAGTTTGATCGCGAAATTAATGCAGATTCATTTCCCAAGCCCTCTACGTCTGTAATTAACTGACTGCGGGCCAAATCATGACGTCTATTACTCCGCCTGGCCAAAATCCTTGGTTAAGTGATCGAACTGGCTATAGTCAGGCCTTTATTTTCTTAAGGGTTTTGTGAACCTGGTTGTAATTGGTTATAACCCTGAAAACAACGTTGATGCACTTTTAAACTTTTCACAGTAAATCCACAGTAATCTTAATTTGGGTTTGGGAATGCGCGGGCGGTGTGACAGTATCCAACAAAATATCGGTAATTGAGTAGCCACACAAAGAGGCAGACCAAAATCGAGTCTTATAAAAGCATTACGCGACCAGTGTCAAGCGATCAACCACCGTGGTTACTTAGAGTAAACGACCAACACCATGGCGCCAAATCTATATCTTTTCTTTATGTTAGCCCTCGTCGCCTTCTCTGGATCTCCTGCAGCGGCATCAAATTCCAAGTTATGCTCGATTGCCGTGCTCTCCAAAGCGCTTCCTGAGAATGCAACTATTTTGTCCACCGACTTCATCTCACCCGGGCAATCACACGGCGAGGGCGCGGCTAATCCTGCATTTCCAACCAACCCTACTGATCTGCCAGCCACCTGTGCTGTACTGGTAAATGTGACCACCTCCGAGACGTCCTCCTATCGATTCGGACTGTTCTTACCCATTACCACCTGGAATGAACGCTATCTAACAGTCGGTAACGGCGGATTTTCGGGCGGCATCAACTGGCTTGACATGGGTGCTGGCGTGCGCTACGGCTTCGCAGTCGCATCCACTGATATGGGACACAACTCAACCATGACTGAAATTGCCTGGGGGCTGAGACAGCCTGAGAAACAGCTCGACTTTGGCTTCCGTGCGACCCATGGCACCACTGTCATCTCCAAGCAACTTACTGAGACTTTTTATGCATCCAAGATCAAGTATTCTTACTACTCCGGTTGTTCGACAGGTGGACGCCAGGGCCTCAAAGATGCGCAGCTCTTCCCGGATGATTTTGACGGCCTGCTCATCGGAGCTGCGGCATGGTGGACGACACACCTTCAGACGTGGACCGCCAAAGTGGGATTGTACAATTTGCCTCAAGAGGCTTCCAACCACATTGATGCCTCTCTATATCCCTCCATAGCTGCGGATATTGTTGCTCAGTGCGATGCATCAGATGGTGTCACTGATGGTATCATTAGCGCTCCCCACGAGTGTAGGCTCGATTTGGATCGTTTGCTTTGCAACACTACCAACACTTGTATTAGCCCAGAACAGGCGCAGACTGTACTGAACATACACTCGAACTACACCATAAACGGTCAATTTACGTTTCCAGGCTTGGAAATTGGATCTGAAAGCGAATGGAATGTGTTGTTATCTGGTCCGGAGCCCGCACCACTGGGTGTTCAGTACATCCAGAACATGTTGCTTGATGATCCCCAGTGGCCGTGGCAGAACTACACAGACTCCCTTGTTGCCTTGGCCGATGACGAGAACCCTGGAGATATCACTGCTGATGACTTCGCTGCTATGTCCCAGTATTTGTCAAACGGGGGTAAAGTGCTCATGTACCACGGAATGGCCGATGGGTTGATTCCAACTGGTAGCTCGACACACTTTTACGAGTCAGTCGCCCATGAAATTTCAGGACACAGCAATATCTCTGATTCGTTCCGATTATTCCTAGTACCGGGCCTCCATCATTGTGTTGGTACTTCAGTTGACGCACCTTGGTATTTCGCGGGCGCCAATCAAGCTGGTACTCTTGGAACCTCCATCCTCTCGGTGCCAGGATTTGCAGATTCGAAACATGACGCTTTGATGGCTCTCATGGAGTGGGTAGAGAATGGCAGGACTGTTGAGACTATTGTGGCCACCACATGGATCAATGTTACCGATTCGACGTCGGATGTTCTACGCCAGCGTCCACTCTGCCCATATCCCACACGTGCGAGCTTGAAGAATAGTGATATCATGAACTCCGCTGACGCATGGGTTTGTGAGTAGTTTTTGGGGTTCTCATTTGTATCTTGCACACATTGCTTCTATTGGTATACCGAGGTCACGTCTCCGGATGCCCGCCCAACACTATGCCATTAATCCAAGCTTCTTACATGTTTATAACTTCTTTTTCCTCTTGGCTCTCTTAGATAGTTAGACTTCAAAAATACAACTCTCTTTGACTGATTAGCTTCATATTTTCTTGAATCAGTTCTAGGGACAAAGACTCTTGTGTAGGCACCTTTCTACTTGTTACCCTACGTTTACGTAACAGAAGCCCCAGCAACGATCAGTATGGACGCATCATCCAAAACCGAGCTTGAGGCTATGAGCGAGTCCGTTTCACATGAACTTGGACAATTCTATGTTAACAATCTAATTATTGAACCGGTTCCTTCCCGGACGGCGATTCTCGGGAATACAAATGCTAGTCGGTCGGAGCTGGGTCCTGGTTATAAGTAAACGCCTGTAGAGGAGACGACGATGAGGATGAGAGAAAGTGATGGGCGGCAAGTTGGAGATGTTTGGAAAGGAGGTGAACGGATCTGTGAAGTTGAAGGATAGAAATCTCTTTGTCGAGGTTGTCGTTGGGAGAATCTTCATTTCTAGGTATTGCGCGAGAAGCTCGACATTTCTAGAAGGTTGCGAACAAGTTTGAAGAGTTGCCTTTGCGCGCAGCTACTTGATGGAATGGAATAGGATGATAGATAATCACTCTTAGTCTAATCGTTACAAAATTCGTTCTAACAATCTAATTCTTATATGAACCCATCATAATAATATATGTATTGAAAGGATAATACTTAAAATATAGATTTAACTCTTAATAGAAATTGAAGAATTTGATATTAAAGAATTTAAAATAAGAGTATAATTGAATAAGCGACTTTTTATTCCTTTATAGTCTTTTTCTAAATCTATATATATTTTAAAATTTCTTAGTATAAAGATAATAATAAGTCGAATATTAATTTGATTATTGATAACTATAATCGAAATATTACGTTTAGACTTTCGTGCTGAAAAGTTTTAAAGTTATTTAAAAAAAATTAATATTATATGAAAATCTTGTTAAATTTTATAGTAATCAATTAATTATAAAATATATATTCTCATTTTACAATATTTAATTTCTTTATAACTCTTAAAAATACAAAATTAAAATATATATAGATATATTGTATTATGTACTAAACCAGTTGAGAGTAATCTTATTCTTCAATTATTTTAGAATAATTGTATAATCTATATTTAGGATATTCTAGATTTTTATCTGTTTTCCTAGATGTTCGTCCTACTATATATCTCTAGGATAGAAACCCCGAGTAGAATGCGAGTGCTCAACTCTGAAATAAACTAATCTATTTAATAATATACTCTATTCGTATATAAACTACGTTATATAGACTAGATTAAAGTCTGAATTATAGTACGAGGGCGTGTTTTTAATAAATGTCGAACTGAAAATTAAACAAATTTCCTCATTAAAACTATACTTTATATTATATATATCATATATTTATATTTAATTTAAATATATATATATATTATCAATTAAATACTTATTATAAAGTTTTAAAACTTATAGTATATATATATAGAGTTTTAATTCATAATCTTTTAATATTAGAATTGATAATTTTTGAATTAAATTAATAATAAAGTTGTTTATAATAAAGGAGCAGGCCAGTAGAATATATATAATATTGACTATATAGATTGATTGTTTTAAGGTAAAATCTTACTACAAAGTAGAAGCGATATATATACAGTAGCTTAGCGTACGTGCTACAACTTTCAACAAAAGTTCTATATAGGAATTTAATTCTTAAAATAAAGATTGTTTTTTACAGAAATTTTAGATATCAAAAGTTCGATATAGATTTTGACTTAATTGAAAGTTTTAATAAGAAAACTAAAATCAAATTATTGAATTGCTTTAAAAATATATCATGATATGGAACTTCAAATATATAATATTATAAATTGATATAATATTGATTTCTAAAATAAATTAATTTTCATATAAAAAGGCATGGAAAAGTGCTCTGTGCACGGACCCGGCATTCAATTAAAACACGCCCTTGTAGTTTATTCAACTAAACATATAGCGGCACGGTTTCCTCTTTTGTATTTCGAGGGCTTCCAATTGCTCTAGTGAGGCACAGTCTTACCTGCATGCTCACCTGCATATGACTCTAACCTATTGAGGCACAGTCTTACCTGCATGCTTACCTGCATGTGACTCTGATCTATTGAGGCACAGTCTTGCCAGCAAGTAGCTTGTAATTGCTCCACTTTGTCCGTGACTTTTTGCTCTCGCATTCATAGCCACAACTTAAAAGAACAAACTCTTGCCCCAGCCAACAAAACATAGACACCAAAGTCACTCTTTATTCCACAGAACTTTAAACATCTTGTAAATTTTAACTTCACACTATTTCTCCATTCCTCGTCTCACCATCTTGCGCACTAAATCCCAAGCTCATCCCAAAAATCGAAAATGACAACTACATTCGATGTTTTGATTATCGGCGGTGGACCTGCTGGTCTTAGCACGGCAGCATCCATCGTTCGCCAGAGCCATCCCACCCTTATCATCGACTCTGGCAAATATCGTAACAAAGATAGTTATATGCATACCGTACCAACTTGGGACCACGCCAAGGCTGGTGACTTTCGTGCAGCCGCCAGAAAAGATTTCGAGCGCTACAATACTGTTCAAATCGAGGACGGCGAGGTTTCCACAGTCAATAAAACTGAAGCTGGACTTTTCCAGGCTACCTGCACAAACGGAAAGGTTTTTGAAGCCCACAAACTTGTATTGGCCACGGGTATTGTCGATGTTTTGCCCAAGATTGAGGGTTACGCCGAGTGTTGGGCTACTGGCATGTAAATAGCCCCTCACTTTCTCCCTTCAATACAAATCTACCATCTGATTTCATACTAAATCATTTTTATATAGCTTTCACTGTCTCTACTGTCACGGATGGGAAGAGAGAGACGTACCATCATCGGGTATTCTTGCCGAAGGAGAGATTGCCAATGTCGTTGTATCACTACATGTAGCACGACAAGCACTTCGACTCTCGAAAGAAACCACCATCTACACCCTTGGCAACGAAAAACTCGCTATTGATATCACTGCTGCTACTGCTACTGCACCAACAATGAAAGTTGATTCTAGACCAATTAAGAAGTTGACCAAGGGCTCCGAACGAGCAGAGGTTATTATCCACTTTGAGGATGGCACTACAAAGGTCGAAGGATATTTGGTACATAAACCTAAGACTGTACTTAGGGGTGATCTTGCACAGCAGCTTGGTCTTGACTTGACTCCGCAGAATACCATCAAGGTCAATCCACCCTTCAATCAGACTAGTGTCAAGGGTGTTTTTGCCGCCGGCGATGCTGCCAACCCTATGCAAACGGTCACACAAGCCATCTTCTCGGGTACCGTATGTGGTGGTGGGGCGCCACTACAGCTTCAGGCGGAAACGTATGGCCAGAAAGGTCTTTTCTAATCTCTGTAGCTTTGGGAAATAGTAATCTGCTACGAAGAATCGATGGAAATTTAGTGTATTGGCGATAGGATTGCAAAGTCACATAGTTATCCCGGCTTGATCTTGATAAATATTCTATGAATTACACTCTTTCTAGGTTCTTAATTTTCTATGTGTATTGAGAATTCGACATTTTGATGCACAGGTGATTACAAGCAATTTTTGACATATGAGTCCTGCAATGGTATAGATCTTCATCTAATTCACAAAATCACACACTTTACTGCCATTAGAAATCCCTAACCCAACCCACCACAGACTCTACCCTCCCCTTCATAATGGAAACCGGCATCAACTCTGCCTCTGCCATCCTCATCCTCAATACAACGTCAGCCGCCCAAGGAATACTTACCCAGAAGTACCATGACACCCACATCCAACCCACTCCCTTCCAAAAAAAGCTCACTCTCTGAGACTCTTCTCCCAGACCCTCCAGATCTACTGCACAAATTGCTCAAGTGTAATCATTAATGCTTGCCACATAAAAAATCGAAACACTTCGATTGTTAATTCGGAATTGCTGATGTTAGACGGCTAACACTTAGAGGGTATGATTGAGCGTGGAATACAGCGGATATAATGAAAGAGACCCAAAGCTGAATATATCATGAAATTAGGGTGCCATGGGGAATATGAATTAGATTGCCGAGAAAGCGGGCGTAATAATCCATTATTATAGTCATTAATAATACTGATAATACCTATGGTTCGAATCCCGTGGTCTATTATGAGGAGTAATCATTAAGCCTAAGGCGATTGCTCATGTCTTGTTACCGTTGTAATACTTAGCGCCATGTCATAGGTAAGGATTAGGCAAGTGGTATCGGTTGGGCGTGGAAGCATTGAGAGCAAGGTTTGATTGATTAAACAATGATCACAGTCTCTTCGGTGAGAGCTGGGCTGAATTGCTCTTTTGCTCCACTGTCGCACTGGAACAATCCTATTCTTTTAAATGTGGATTCTGATGAATCCTCGAGCTTGCGAAGAATAAGACCACGAGTTCTAGAGCCCCCAAGTGACATCTCACCAATGAAAAGGCAATGCAGTTTAACGCTGACATCAAGGTTATGCTTGTAGTCGAAATAGGGAGATAGTTTCGGGGCTTTGCTGAACTGGCGAACCGGTTCTAATGTAAACCAACGTTTCCAGGTGACCTCCATTAGGGGCGCATAAATTGTCAAATGCCCGCTTACAACAGCGCCGAATAGGTTGTTCCCCTTAAACTCTATTTCTGCCTCAAGAACTCTGGCATAGACGGGATCAAGCCTTTGTGTATAATCAAGTTTCCCATCAGTGTAGTGGTAGACCTGCTCATTATCCTCTATAGATGCCCAAGACCACGATGGCGCCCTATCAGAGCTAGCACATCTTTCTCCCTCATACTCCCTCCACCACAAAAGACCTTGCGGGAGATCTTTCAACCACAAACCAGCTAGATAGCGACCAGCTCCATGGTCCGTAAATTGCTGAGCTAGACCGGAGAGTGCAGGAAATATATCATCACGCTTAGTTATACTCCGAGTCATGATTTGGTTGACGACCTTATACCAAGTCTTGTATTTATCAGGTGGATATGAGTTCAAGCTAGCAAGATATGCGACTCTCTCGGTTTGTAACTTCATATTGCTGTCCATCTGCATACATTCACAGAACATCCCTGAGTTGCATTCCCACATGATTTCTCTTTTCCCAAAGTGTACCATACGAGGGGCTAGAATCTGCTCCTGCAATGTCCAAGCTCTTTTTGAAAGCGGTGAATCCTCATATCCATATATCGTAGGGAACATTGCGCAAAGTTGAGAGTGATCATCATAGTACCGCGCATAAATGGTAGTTGACTCGCTTTCAACAAAAGCTATAGGCTTTCCATCTTTGTGCCAGCCGCCTTGTAAAGGGTCGAGGAATCCGGCTTCAGAGTTGGCCGCCATATCAGCGCCTATGACCAGGTATGCATTCTGATAGATTGCCGCCATATTTCCCGACTCCTTCTCCCAATCCTCTGGGTCGTTTTGGATGATAAACAATGCATCGATCCAAAGATACCTTTGACCAAGGTCCTTCGTGACGGTCACAGCATCCTGGAAAGTCTTAGGTAGATCAAGGAAACGTATTACTTCCTCCATAGCATGAAGGTTTTCGCGTAAGGTTTTTATCGGCACTCCGCCTCCCCAACAATGACTGAGAGCAAGATATTGTCCACTCTTAGGCAGTTTGGTTTCAAGTCGAATCTGATCTGAGCCAGCGTGACCAACGTCCAAGAGGCGTTTCGGCAAAGCCACGCCGATACCTGTAGGAATGCACTCGGTATGCGTATCGCGACAAGTTCCAATCCAATCTTGAATGATCGCTGCATAGCTGGTCCTTCGTGGGCGTACATCGCGGCCAATGTATACCAGAGGCGATGAAGACTGCGTATGGCCAGACAATGTATAAAGAAAAATGCCAGATTCATCATTTCTCTTGTAGGACAAGCGTAGATTATTTCCGTCTTTATAAACGCAATACTCTTTAGTGAAAATAGATGGTCCAAATATCTGAAGCAGAGCAAGGTATAGAAGTCGACAGGTCTGACAGCTGCCGGTAGCCGACGTACATAGGAGCTCCAAAGATAGATCGCCATACGGAGCAATTAATTGAAGAATTTCGCAAGCTTGACATACTGAATCATGGGTTGGGACTGATGTAAAGCAGGGCAATGCATCACGCCGCGACACCATTAATTCGCCCATCTTAGCAGATAAAATCTTTCAGGTATAAAATCGTAAAGCGTATTTCAAAGTTTGTATACAATTTAAATGCTGACGTGTCTTTTTCACGAAGCTGACTCCCCTTGCATACTGCCTAATTTCCAATAAAATCAGTATACTAATAAAATCAGTATGTCAATAAAATTCTATATGACTAACAAATTCTAAGAAGACTATATTATAGTAGATTCAAGTCTGACTGGTTTATAAAATAAAGGGATTTACTATAGATGCCTCTATAATCACTAAAATCGCTTTAAGACGATCAAAACCTAAGCCTATCTACTCCACAGATAGTTTTCAAATGATTATTATAGTTTCTTAAAAGCAAACAAGATTCATACCCGATTATTTATTCTTCTCTATTATCCGTAGTTGTTATAACGACAAGGCGAAGACGGCTAGGGAATCCAGGGCTCCCTAAAGAATTGCGGGTCAACCTGAGTATATACCGTAATTACGGGATACATTGAAATAGACCTCTTGTATAGCTAAAAGAATAGTTTCCCAACTCGTAAGAAGAATACTGAAACGTCTTGATTCTACATTATACTAGTTGATTCATTACTACGCATGACTCTAACAGCGTATATCAGTACTTACTAAATAAAGTTAAGTAATTATTAGTTATCAAACTTTCAAGGTTCGTATAAACGAGTTTGACTTCTTTAATTGGGCTCTAACTTGCGCAGGGTTTTAATCGATCATATTCATATATATCTTCAATAAACAAAAAGCATTTTTTAATCTATCTCAAAATAACTCTATTCTTATAGTATAGTATATAGTTTATTAGTTACTCGACTATATTAATAAGTCGAATACTTTATAACTATACTTAAATTGTTATTTTTTCAGTATTTGAATTTGAAGGACTAGAAAGTTAAGTTGAATATTATTATATTATATAAGCTGAAGATCTGTATATTATATTATTCTCAGAACATATAAATATAAAATTCCTTCTAATTAATTATAACTTACTATCAATTTTAAAGCTTTACTCTTTCGATCGATAAGAGGAATAAATATACGTCAAATTATTCAATTGACTTATTATACTTACGAAAGAGTTTTATAATAGTTATTACTAGAAGAAGTATTTAAATAATAATGAAATACTACATAGTTGAATAGATCTTTCAATTTGAAAATTCAATCTTAATTTTTTTCTAATATTATAAAATCAAATTCTTAAAACGTTATTAAAACATTAAGAAGTATTACTTATAGTATTAATAAGGTAGAAACCGCCGGTATAATATCTTGGTGATATTTACCATTTATTTCTCCGTTACTTTCGTGCAGCCTTTAACTCCGTCTTATACCAAGTCTGCATCGCCCGGACATCATAGCTCATAGCTACTACATCAAAAATGTTCAGATGCTCGTTAGCTGAAAACCCATCGTTCGACAGCCGGCCAACCCATTTCCCATGCTTTCTAGCGGCAGCTACAATCTTGTTGATGGCGTCAACAAATACGGGCTCATCACCTTTGGCAGGAACATAGCCGAGGATAGAAAGCGCAAGGTCATTTGGCCCTATGAAAATCATGTCTTGAAGAAAGTTAGAAACATAACAAGAGGATTTGAAAGAGGGATAGTATTGAGCCACTTGCCGACACCAGGCACTGCGCAAATAGCATCAACATTCTCGACGCCTGTCTTGGTCTCGATTTGCAAACAAGTGATCAGAGTCTCATTGGCGGTTCTCACATAGGTTGAGATATCGATACCGAGCGCAAATCCCGGAAACGCCGAACCTTGTCCTCTCAAACCTTGAGGAGGGAAACTAGCATTTTGAACAACGGCCTTGGCGTCTTCGGCAGTGTTAACCATCGGCACGACAATTCCATGGGCACCAGCGTCTAAAGCACGTTTGATCAAATCCGCGTGAGTCATTCTGATACGAACAAGTGGAGAGACACCCTGAGAAGAAATAGCGACGATGGCATCATGCATAGAGTCGTCACTGATGTATCCATGCTCGCAGTCAATGATAATACCGTCAAGCCCTGTTGAAGCCAATATCTGGGCTGTACGAATAGACGGTAGGCCCAAAAAAGTCAGTATCGGTTTTGAGCCATCACGAAGGCAATTGAGGAGGCGTAGCCGCGGGTTTTGAATGATCGTCGTGATGGGTGATGGGAATGTCATCTCAAAAGAAAGAAAAAACTTTAATAATCAGGTCGACAATTTTAAGATATGTAGATTAGAGCGCTCGAGATTTGGGATCTGAATACGAGTGGTAAAAACGACAAGGAAAATTATGCTGGGCTTTAATATGACTGAAAGTGAACGCCAGCACGCTTCAAAGTCTGCGTGCCGGCAAAATCCTCATCGTTACCGTGCGATTCGGCGAAAACCTCGCTCGCCGGTCTCTTAAACCTTGCCGCCGGGCGGCGAAGTATTTCGCCAGCCAGAGCATGCACGTAGATTAATGCACTTACCAGCAAATCCCAGCTAAACTTCATCTTCCCTAGGTATGACTTGATATGAAATCATCGAGTCATTTGAATAATTCTTGCTAAGTTCATTGTCGTATCAAATTAAGAAGTATACTATTCTCGTCATCATATCCTGACTTTTTGTAGACATGTTGATACTATTAGGATTTGTTTTACCGATTTGCGCCAGATCATTTCTTGCTTTACAGTAATGTTACGGTTGTAGGGTATCACATGACGATCAATTGAACCTTAGACTCAGATGATTGTATTACCAACGGGAGAACCAGTGACGGCGGGTCAAGTGATCAATATATCATATCATGAATAGCTTCAGGTAGAGTCTAGGTCCAGGGATTCGAGAGAAACGAAGATCTTTTTAGGAAAAAAAGTTTCCTTGACATATGGAGACTCCTACTCAGTCTTAACTTACTTATTTAATTCAATGCACTATGATTATATCAATGAAATATTGTATTATTGATTTATTACATGTTAATAAATATTTTTCAGAAGTATATCAATGGAACCTGGAGAAGTATCATCAATATTTAAACTAAGAATCAGCATTGTTGTAATACGATAAAAGAATCGCAAGTAAAACGATGGGAATTCCATGAAAGCAAATTGAACTTTACCCTTCTATGATCTTAAATCGTCTCCTTATATCTTCAGCTGCTCTCTTTTCCTCTCCTTCTCTGAGCTAGTTTCCATACCTTCCATCCTGGCCTCCTCTATTCCATGCTGCTATAACCCTGGTATTCCAGCTCTTTGACACACGTTCCCCTTGATCCAACGATCAGATTGACGGAACATTGCATTGCATGCTACTTCTCATCGACAAATATCTTTCAATTCAAAACCTGCTATTGAAGTCTAGAGAGTTGTCACCTGATGTTAAGTCGGAAATTGGCTATCTAATACTTAGGCCTACATCACCGATGGTTACTTTATTGTCACTTTAATCACTTATCAATTTCTTTGAATGTCCATGTGAAAACACGTTTCTAGTACAAATTGATGAGAATAAAAATTCAGATACTAAAAAAAAACGACCTAACCTTCAACCCGTGCTGCAACTGACGTGTTTGTCCTAAATTCCAAATTCCTCAAAGGTCACTCCAATAATCGCATGATCTTTGTCTTCACACTTTGCGTTGCAGTGTGTGATATCCCAGCGTATGTCTAGCTTCAGCAATTGTAGACCCTCTAATAATCATGTCCCTGATACCGTCCTCGCTCTTCTCAATGCTCTTTGCAAGCGCAGCCACCTCAGAGGCTCGGTCTCGTGGCACTACAACAACGCCGTTCGCATCAGCTACCACAATATCACGGGAATTTACACGAATGTTGCCCACACCAATCGATTCATTGACACCTCCCACCTGGACCCTATCCTTTCCTGTTCTCATCCAGCGTCCGGTAGTGAAAAGTGGATAATTGTCACTGATGGCACGATCAACATCACGACACACACCATGAATTACGGTGCCTGCAATACTCCGCAGACCTGCATACTGTGTCATGATGTCTCCCCAGACAGTGCAATCCGTTCGACCACCGTTGTCAATGACCACGAAGTCACCTACGGCCACATCGTCTATGAAGTCACCCACGCTTCCGGGCGGGTCACTAGCAGGCACATAGCGTACTGTGAAAGCAGGCCCAACCGTGGTTTTCTTGTAGTTGGTCAGTGGCATTATATTGAATACCTGTCCTGAAATACCAAGCTTGTCAAGAGCATCCGAGACACCGGGAGTGTCAGAATCAGCGAATAATGCCACCAATCTCTGATCTTCAGCGATAGCTTTCTTGGGGTTCCCTCTAGGAATGCTAGGCTCTCCTGAGCTAAACTTAGTAGGCAGAGCTGCGATGGATTCAAATTGCTTGTCGTGCATGATCGCTGTTACTGAACGACCAGCACGAACTTCTTTAAGCATTTCATGCTGACGGCGCTCGATGCGTCCAGCGAGCTCTAGTACCTCTTCGATACGATCAGAAGGTACAAAAACCGTCCCACATTCATCGGCAATCACATAGTCGTCCTGATCTACTATGACACCTCTCATCTCCACGGGTCCGCCAGAATTAACTTGAATCAACCGATTGCGTGCACTGATCATTGTCACGCCACGGCCAAACACAGGATAACCAATATCACGACTTCCATTGATGTCTCTACTGTTGCCGTCAATAATAGAGCCACGAATATCCTTCATCTTAGCGGCATTGGCGATAATATCGCCCCAGGAGGAAATGCCATCTACCCCACCAGCAATAACGAGGATTCGATCATTTGTTGTGACAGCGTCTATCACTGGTGTGATAAGGTGGACAGTTGCTGGAGCACCTTCGATCTTGGGACCAAGTTGAATGGTACTAGCACGACCGACTATCTTTGGACAATCCCAGAGAGGTCGAAGCCCGTGAGTAGCTCCTCTCAAGCCAAGGAAATCCAAGGCATCAGACACCGTATTGGTGTCCAGTGCTGAGAGACGATCGAGTAGGTTACTGTTCATCGTGGCTGTATAATTAAGCTTTAGAAAAATAGATACAATGTTCTCAAGATGATTGAGCTGATACAGATAAGCTCAACTATCTATATTGTGAATCCACAAAGCAGTCATCAAATCGGTCATGACATCCGGCGCCATTATCGGCGCCGGCATATAATAACTAAATTCGACCCCCACTTTTCTCTCGGCCTGAATGCTAGTTGCCGCTCAAATCCTTAGTACACAAATTTCTTTCTGCGGCATGTGTTTATCTGTTACGTCGCCGGTTCCTAGGTTAGTAATACCACAGGGAATAATCATCTGGGCTCTAACAATATGGTTAGTACTAAGAAATGCTTTGCTACCAGGTAATGGTATGTGAAGTAATTTGTACAGAGATTTCGAGAGAATCAAAATTTATTCTCTCAGAATTTCATCAAATCTACCTCTGCCTGGAGGTGCGATCTCTAATACTTGGGGCTTAGAACGTTACGAATGATGACGGTGCAGACCAAGTAGATAATACATGTGGTGCTTGTATCAAACTAAGACCTTACGTTTTTACATGTACTTGTGTTCCTCGGGTAATCCCATGTGGTGAGTATGGTGTAGCCTAAAGAACGACACCACCCTCTGACCCCAAGGTCAGGGAAATTGTTATGTGACTCTCAGTGGTCGTAACACTACCTCTATATCTTCGTTAATCTTATACCGAGAAATGTCTTTCGATGTTCAGCCGGAAATCAGCAACGTGTGACGAAGAGATTGATATAATAACTAGAGAATCATAAACTCGGGAAGCTGACCAACGGATAACTACTGTACTGAACGGTAGAAAGTCTATGAAGATAACTGTAGGAGGACTTCAGGAGAGACAGTTATGTGATCGATGGGATTGGATAGCTTTTTATACATTCCTAGAAATAACTTCTCGAGAAACACCATTTATGAGAATAAAGGCCTATAAGAGCAAGGTTTAGTTTTCTTAGTTGTCACTCCGCTCTTCCAAATACTTCGAGTCTTAAACCACCCTTCACTCGTTATTGGTAAATCAATTGGGTACGAGCATCGTGAGATTCGTATAAAAAGCTCTCGCAAATTCGCACTACAATGTAACAAACTACATGTTCTAACTTTCTTAGCCTCTAATTCTAGTGACAAATTTCACTAGTTATAGCTAGCCGCCTCGCTTATCCAAAACCATTATTCGACCAAGTTTTAAAGACTATTGCACTCCTAGAACAGCTTTAAATGCCTCGGCGACTTTCTCTACATTATTTTCTGTCACTTCATCATTTTGAATTAGCAGTTGTAAAGGAACGACATCAGATTATAGCTTACGTCCGGTTACGGAAATTCTTCCTGAGGGTAGGAGATAGACATGGTGCTTCTCTCTCAGTACCGCTACTTCCGTATATGATAGCCCTGTCATTGAAAACATGCCTATCTGTGAATCTTGTTAGAATAATATCGCCATATATCTACAAAGTGTATCTTACATCCGTGAGTAGATATTGCCAAGAGCCTTTCACTTGTTTATGTAGGAGTGCTTCGTATAAGCTTTGGCGCATGCGCTTCATGCGATCGCTCATTGTTCTTAGATCTTGAAGCCATTGACTATACAAATTTGGATTTTCAAGAATCTCGGCAACGATTCTTGCCCCGTATGAAGGACAAGAAGTAATCTCTGCCCGAGATAGTTGGATGAGTGACGGTGTTACTTTAATCACGGTCTCGGGGCTCGTGGCAACGATGTGAAGAACTCCTACACGTTCCCCATACAAGCCAAAATTCTTTGAAAAAGACTGTGCGACGGCAAACTCCATGTTCGATTTATCGTAGAAGTGACTGATTGCCCATGAATCCTGATACACATCTCCCGTTGCAAAGCCCTGGCTGTGAGGAAAAACGTTAGATCCGTAGTGTATTATTCCGGGATGCATGGAAACTTACTATGCCAAATCGAAGATAGTGAACAATCCAAGCTCTTGGCAAAGTTCTGCGACGATCTGCCACTGACGTTTATCCAAATCCATTCCTGTAGGGTTGTGTGCGCACGCATGAAGTATTATGACGTCTCCGACACACGCTTCTTTGCGCAAAGTTGATATCATATTCTCGAAGTCAATTGTGTGGCTCTCTTTATCGTAATATGGATAGCTCTTTTGTTCGATCTCTGGATTGACGATTCTCCATATCTCTGTGTGATTAATCCAGCTCGGGTCAGAAATCCAGACTTTTCTAGGTTTTAGTCTAGTTGAAAGGAATAGAGCCGCAATGTGATTAGCTCCTGTGCCGGATACTGTCTGCATAGAGGCGATACGCTTCAGATCTCGAGTCGTGCCAAATACTAATTTTTGAGAACCGCGAAGAAGTCCGGTATGGCCTACAAGAGGGAGATGCTCGTGTAATACATTGGGGTCTGCATGTAGTTTAGCTTTCGCCTAAGAGCTAGAAGTCAGCGTAACGCACGAATGAAGCATTCACGATTAGAGCTTGTGGTACCTGCGTAACTGAAGGTAGAACCCATGGCTTTGCATTATGATCTCGATAAAATCCAGGGCAAAGGTCAACCTTTTTCTCGTCCTTATCGAGGGCGAATGCGGCCACAAGTGAGAAAGCTGCATCAGGCTGAGTGGGGGGTACGTTAGCAAGGTGTAGCATATTGTTATTTGTGTCCGTTAGGTTAGATGACAGCGATGTGATATATTAAATAGAGGTGTTTGGCTGAATGAAGAAACTAAAGAAAGTGGCTTCGAGATTTGGATATGCAGAAGTTAAGCGTAGCTCCTAATAAGACGGGGCGGACTGAGCTAACGGCAAAATACTTGGATTAAGCCGAACGAGAGCTCGGCTTTTTTCAAATCTGCCGAACAGACACCTCAAGTTTCGGCGGCACCGAGATTTTCCCACTCCTTATTCGAAATCCGGATAGTCAAGATCAAATTTCTATCCTATCTATGATGAAGCTCGCGGTTTACTTCTGAGTCATTTTTTTTTACTTTCTTTCTTACCACGATCTAACACGTGATTCATTACTGTTTTGATTTGAACCAGCCAAGCTGTAAATTCCTTTCCTCTCTAAATAATCATTGAGTCAATAGTAACAGGCATATAGATTTACATGCGATATGACATCTGCTCAAGCTCAGAGTGACTGGGTTGGTGATGTTCTACATGAACGTAGACAAATCTCGGTCGAGGGAGTTGAAATTGATGTTGCCATAACGCGTCGCGACGGAAGTGCGGCACCCATCATATTCCTGCACGGATTCGGTGGTAGCAAGGAAGACTACTTGGACATCGTTTTGCATGAATCGTTCAAAGATCGCCCGTTTGTCGCTTTTGACGCGCCTGGTTGCGGCGCAACAACTATTGGAGACTTTTCTAGAATGTCTATTCCATTTCTCGTCAAAGCTACACAAGCCATCCTTCAGGACCTCAGTATCCAGCACTTTCATTTAGTTGGTCACTCTATGGGGGGTCTAACCGCACTGGAACTGGCATCTTTTCATCCTCAGTCTGTGCTAAGTTTTGTCAACATCAAGGGCAATCTAAGCCCTGAAGACTGTTTCCTAAGCAGACAGATCTTTACTTGCGCTCACGAAGATCCGGAAAAATTTTTAATGAACTTCATCGAGCGAAATTCCCGTTCACCCTTCTTCTCTGCACCTTTTTATGCATCGAGTGTTAGACACAAAGTGAAGCCCGAAGCAGTCAGAGGCATATTTGAGTCCATGGTAAAACTTTCCGATAGTGGGAGCTTGTTAGGGAAATTTTTAGGATTACCTTGCCCTCGCGTTTTCATGTACGGCAATCAGTACAACAAACTCTCTTACTTGCCAGAACTAAAAGAGAGCAATGTGCAACTTGCTGAGATACCTCACTGCGGCCATTTTCCGATGTACTCAAATCCTGTCGCAATGTGGGACTACATATCCCAATTCTTCGCTCAGAATCGGAAATATGAAGCGCGAAGGATAAGATACGGTGCAAGTCCCAGTCTGACCTAGGTTTGAGAAGGTTATCGAACTGCCACATTCACCATTGAATAGTGTGATGGCTACGCGACCTCAGGCTCAGATGCCATCTGGCTGGACGATCAAGAAGAGAGAATCTGGCGTAAGTTTAAGCGTCAAAACTTATGGATTTAAAGCCTGAGGGAATTGAGGGACTTACGACGATTCAGCGAGGATGAGAGTCAGTATATGAAAAAAAAAATTTCTTGTCAACAAAGTTTTGTATTCGTGCTTCAAATTATATAGCTGTTAAGCTATTCAGCTATTCAAAGTATTTGACATACTGAGACTATATTGGTAGAATGTGACTTCATATCTACTACCTGTTCATGAATATCTTGTAGAACTAAATCTACTGTTAGATGCTAGAGAAGCATTATATTTTCGATCGTAAACGAGGCGCCACTAGCGTAATAGATGAATTTTTAGGACTTCTATACTCGTACACATGTGTCCCAATGCTCTCCTTGGTACTGAAACTTCTCGAAAACAAACTTTCCACAAAGCATGATTGTTATCACTGAAAGATAGACTACGATCATCAATCGTAATCTCTATCTTGTCTAGATAAGCCCGATTATGACGGATTCAGTATCTTACGAAGGAACCATTTTGCAATTGTAACGAATTGCGTAATACCTTTATCATATGCTGGAAATAAAGACTGACTTGAACTATTAATATGATTGAACCATAATACTTGAAGCTTTCTTTTAATTCCATATTTCAGTCTATATTACATAATATAATGAAGTTTAACATTCGAAAATGATAAAGTAATATTCAAAAGTGTTAAAAAAACCTTCATTGAAAAAACATAAAGAAATTAGAGAAACGTTTTGGTATTATTAGAAGAGTTCTAACTCTTGTTTAAGATGGTTTCAAATAATAGTGTTAATAAATGAGAACAAAAACCAAGGGAAAAGTATTACTTTTTTATTATCGAATCTAGTAAATCATTACATCAACATTGAAAATATAACATATAATCGTTTTTTCAAGATAAAAACCCTCTCGAAATGATTTGCTTCCACCTATAAGGTAACAGGAAATATTTGCTGCAACTCCTCTTGGGTCAAAAATGCGTCCAAGAATGATAAGCTGAGAGCCTGATCGCCACTTATATATTGTAGAGTTGCTTCAGGGCCTAGTTGATCGTCAAATGTCTGCGAAGTCTCGTTGCTCGCTCGAGTCAAGTCTAGCGATGTCTCTGAAATCGTTCGACTTGTCTCCGTTTCTCTCTGGTGAATTAGAGCTTGAAGAACGGATGTTGTACTTCGGATGTGACAGCAGAACTCTTTCGCTGCAAAATTGCCGTTTTGGTCAAGCCGTTCGAGAAGGCTAGTAGCAAATTGAAATCTTTCTAGATCACTCTGGGAGTTACTTGACTCTATTGAACTTGATATCGCCAGAACAACCGCGGACGAGAAGAGGTACTGTGTAAATGAGTAATTAAAGGTATCAAAGATTCCATCACTCCAGCATTCTAACAACAAATCACACGACTCCCGAGCATAGTGGACACAAGACTCGGCCAAAGTCTGCGCCAAATCAGGAATTTGCGTTTGTATGTTAAGCTTTTTGTGTGTTGCAATGTGATGGCAGAAAATGTAAAGTAGAACAGGTCTACTAGCTACAATACGTAACTAATGCTGTCAGTACACGAACGGTAGAGATTAGCTCGAATTCACCAACCTGGTTAGATGTGAGTTGCAAATTGACCCAACACTCGGTGTCAATACTTTTTTGGTCTGTACAAACCTGCTTTTGATGCGTTATAGTATTCGACAACTGCTGTAGCTCTTCGTTCACGGCTTGCACCCTTTCCAAGAATGGCTCTTTGGGGGATTTTCTGGTGTATACCAACTGATTGATGCTGCCTGCTATTTTCGCTAAATTCACATTTATGACAAGAACACTATGTTCCATAAAATCCTCGGACTTTTCCTGACATGCATCAGATGGCAGGTCAACGGTGATATCCTGGTCAGAGATTGAAACTGGAAGCCCGGTCTTGGAGGAAATCATTCGGTCTAGAACATAAGTTGTCCACCAGAGACGGTTGCGATGCTCCCGGATCTCAGGGTCTGATATGTGATTGCGATCAATATTGAGATGAAGACCCATGACATTCTGTAACCGTATGGCAGTACCAATCAATACATAGGTTGAATGGCGACGATTAACCTCAAGGGAGTATAATGCCTATCGTACCATTGATTAGATTTTGATTGGTCATGAAGAAAATTACACTAACTAACAAGTAGTAATATGGTTTCGACAACATCGAGATGTGGTCTTTCGCTAACAACACGAAGAGATTGACTAGCATACGCAAAGGCAGATAACCCGGGAAATGTTTCTTCTGCACGAGTGCATCTTGACGTGTACAGCTCTCCAAGAGCGAACAATGCCCAAAACTTGAAAACTATGGCTAACGGAATCTGACTACGAGAGTTAGCGTCTGTAGACTTTGCGAGCTCAGCAAAAATTTCGCTGCGCCGGACAACATGGAAGCTTCGTCGAAGTGCTCGCAAGGCTGCTTTTACAAGGAATTGTGCTCGTATAGATGAAGGCCATATTGGAGACGGCACCGGTGGGGATAATAACCAGATAGTCTCGTTTGGAACAAAATGCGTGCGAGGAATGTGATTCGAGGGTTGAGGTGCAGTAATAAGCTGACGAACTCGCGTAGCAAAGGCGGCGTCGGATATTTCGCCGATCCAGATAGGCGTCTCTGATGTCTCTATGCGTTCAAACCAGTGACTATCCCGCAGGACGGGGTTTAAGGTGGTCTCTGCAGCACCAGCTGTATCATCTTGTGATAGAGCTCGGGTCTCTGAATCTTCAGACAATCCCGATCTATCCCTACCTGGCGAGTGGAAGCGGCGAAGCTGTTCATTCTCCCGAATGAGACGGTCTAGATAGCTGGAATTGGTCAAAACTCCAAGCTTCCATAAAATAATGATGAAAAACCAGGAGCGAATGGCGGCGGCTTACCTTTGGTTGACTTTAACTTGATGGTCTCGCGTGGGGTAAACACAGTCTGACGTGTTGTGGCAATTGTCGCATGGCTGAGTGCCCGAGCAACGAATTTTACGACCGTGGCAACGTCGGCATCTATGAAAATCAGCTTAAAATAGAGTCGATCACTGAGTGAATGTCTTACGCAATTGATCTTGTCTTAGCCGGGCGCGTGGGTCGCTGAATCGTTGATAATGGCATAATGATGGCTTGGCCGCAAACAGAGAATCAGAACTTGCCCAGGTGATGTGGGGAAGAATAAACGCGCAAGGGTCTGGTGATGGAGAAAGCGGTGTGGCGCAATGAAAGTAAAGAAACACAGAATTACTTCCTACAATAGATCTCGAGCTCACCTGCAATTTTGTTCAGAGCAATAAAATAAAATACAGCTAACGTCGCTTCCTCTATGTACTCAGATTAGTATATTAGTAGCGACAGAACAGTCTTGCGTGGTATGGCCGGGAAGCCTGTGACCGTTGTTAGGGATTGCCTCTGATGAGATCCTGGATAGAAGATCACGTGACATATGGTTCAAGCTATATCGTACATACAACATGAAAACCATCTTCAGTTGTTCGTCGATTTCGAAATCACACTAGAATAGGTATTTTGTACTATCTATAATAATAATAAATGAATATTCAAAATTATAATAATTGATTGAAACTTCGAGTAAATATCTATTATATAATAAAGAGCTTAAATATAATTTATTTATGTTTCTTGTATTATATTATTACTTTTTTATATATATTTAAATTGATATTTAAAAAAAGTTCTTGATTTTTATAGTAAATTCTTCTTATTTCGATTTATATCAACTTTCTATATAGGTTATATAATCAAGAAGAATCTAAAAAATAAACCCTTTAATTTCTATCTAAGTTTTAAAGAAAATAAATAAAATAATAATAGATCTATTTATTATTAATGAGAATTATATAAGAAAATATATAGGTGAATTACATGAGTTTTGGTGTGATTTGGTGTTCGACAAACAGTTGTACTCAAGTACTATACATTGTATCTTGGTCAGCTTCTCTCCAAGAAAATTCCAAGACACTATTAACTGCTAAACCCAACATGCTATGATACCTTGAGCGATCAACCTGAATTCTGTGCCGAGATCGATGTTTCAAGACGAACGTCTATCTATCAGTATATGTGGCGAGAATTGATTAGCTGGACCAGACAAGACCAGTCCACATATGACTTTAGTGTATGGTTAGCTCAGGAAAGATATGAGACAGTCTGTGATTTCAGTGTACATTATTGTATGTCCACGTGCGCATCGCCCTCGTCATTGCAGATTTGATCTCATCGATCTTTTACAAAAATCTCTAATCGACGATTGTATGAACTCGAGCGATCTGCAAATATTGTGTTTCAAATCATGTGTTTTATATCTTCAGCTACGCTTTTTTTTTCTTTTTTCAACGAAGATCTTGTATACACGAAGCGGCAGCTAACAGACTTATAACTTGTTAATTTTCAATATAAAGAGGACTGTGACCTTTCTTTGTCAACAGGATGTAACTACCTCTGTCTTCTGAAACCAGCCCTGATATTAAGCTTAAAAATAAGCTTTACCTCACTAGCAGATATCGACTAATTAGAGAACTCATACCGACCATTGCACCTGGCTCTATGATCCCCGGCAGCAGTCTAAAATCATGATCTCGCAAGCACTATGCATTTCTCTGTGGGCGATTTCCGCGTCCGCCTTCTGGCCGGGTTTGAGCAATGAAGCTCATGGTGCTCAAATCCCTGTCCTGAGCCCATCTGCGGAATCTGTATCAGCAACCGCAGAACTACCGTTCGTGGACCTGGGCTACACTAAACATAGAGCGATCAGCAACCCTAATCCTGACCTCTACAAGTTTCAAAGTATTCGCTATGCAGCGCCACCGACCGGCGACTTGCGCTTTAGAGCTCCGCAGGCCCCGGTCGACAACCCGACAGGCGAGGTTGAAGACGGCCGTGGCAGGAAGGAGTGCCTTCAAGCGATGGTAAAGTGGGCGGACACTTTCCCACCCGAGCCATGCGATGATTGTGAATGCTGCGAAGAAGATAATAACTACGGGGAATGCCATAAGCCTTGTGATTCAGGGGAGCGTGGCAAGGAGCCTCCCAAGCAGCTATTTGGAGGGTTTCAGCCAGCTTTCAACCTTAAAAATCCGAATCTGTACTCCGAAGACTGCCTATTTCTTGATGTCTGGACCCCAAAGGCCGCCTTTGATGGAAAGCAAAAGAAGCCTGTGCTCGTCTGGATCTATGGTGGCGCCTATGTCTTTGGTGGCAAGTCCCTTTACTTTCCCGGAGGGCTGATGGATCGCGCCATGGTAAATGACCGAGGCGGCATGATTTTTGTTGCGATGAATTATCGTATGGGAGCCTTGGGTTTTGCAGCCGGCCGTGATATCGAAGATAAAGATATCAATGCAGGGCTACTTGATCAACAGAAAGCCCTACAGTGGGTACAAGATCACATCGACAAGTTTGGAGGCGATCCAAATCAAGTCACCATTGTTGGGCTTTCGGCCGGAGGAGGCTCCGTATTGCACCACCTCACCGCCTATGGTGGTCAGAAAGGGGCACTATTTCAGCGCGCTATCTCCCTCTCGGGAGGCTGGCAACCAATCACAGATCAAACGACGGCGGAAAGCACGTTTCGGGAGTTTATGACAAAGTACAACGGCGTCTCGACCTTGGCGGACCTGCGGGACCTGCGTAAGGTATCAGAAGCGCAGATGATGGAGGCAAATCTCCAGCAGATACAAAACGCACCGCCTGGCTCCTTTCTATATAATCCAACAGCGTGGGGGGACTTTGCTCCTGAGTCTCCCGCTAAGCTGCTTAAAAATGGAGAGTTTTTACACGATGTACAACTCATTCTTTCCCATGTTTTTAACGAGGGTGGCCAGTTTGCAAAGTCATTCGAAGACCAGGGTACCACCGTGCCAGGCTTCCTTGATCTCGCATTTCCAAACGTTACCAAGGACGAGAAAGAGTGGATCTTAGAAACATATCACTCTGGATATAACGATGCCGAGGATGTCGCAATGATTATTGGCGATGCCACGTTCCGCTGTCACGTTACATATACCAGTGATGCAAAAAGCGATCAAGTCTGGCGGCAGAGGTGGAACACGGTTCACAGCAGATCACATGGGGGTGATTTGCTTTATCTCTTCTACCAACCATTCGTGCCAGTGGCGTCAATTCGCGCGGCACGCATACTACAGGATTATGTAGTTACTTTCGTCACAAGCGGGAATCCAACAACGACTGTCACCAATCCCAGTGGGTTTCGGCAGCCAGCGCCGTACCATCAGTATAGTATGGATAACAAAGTTCAATTTTTCGACTCGGGAATCTTGAGATTCCCTAATGTGTGGCGCGGGGATGCTGAATCAGAGGACTTGTGCCGCGTGTGGCAGCAGATGTCATGCACATAATGTAGAATAAACGGTAACTCAGGCGAGTAGTATTTAAAAGCTATTGTGTTCTCTTGGTTAGTCTTGAGATTCTTGACTCAACGAGGTTCTGGTGCACTTTACTCCATTGGTTTATAACAATGTTTTAAACGATTACAATTTTAGTTCAACTACTAAAGTGGGATTCCGGATACGTTATTGAATGTAATTATCATATGTATGAAATAGGTGATACCGCTAGAATACTTATAAAGGTGTAAAGTTATCATTTATAGCTTTCTGAAATTCTGTCAATATCTCAATTAGAAATACTCTAAAAACAATCTGTATAATTCTTTACTCATTTAAAAATATCGCTGTGTAATTTGAATCTTCTCAATAATATTCTTCATAATAAAAGATTAAAAATTACCTCCTATCATCTGTTATCACCTACAAGTACTCTTTATTTGAAAATAAGCTCACTTATTAAATAAATTCATAAGAATATTAACTCGATAAGTAAGAAAAACGAATGTGATTGCTATAACGCGTGATAGCTAATGAGTGTGACTTGTACTACGGCCAAGACCAACCACTAACAACTTAAAGAATCCTTAATTTCTCCCAAAACAACTCGAGAAATGAATGACGAACTTCGATACAAAGATATGATATTCTAGTACAACTTCAGACAGCTTAAGGAGACCACCAGTGCAACATGACGAGTCTTCCATTTCCAAAACACATCAGAAGCTTAACAACCAACTACTTTCATCGACCATCTACCCTGTAGAGAGATGCATTGATTGAGACGGTCTGTACCATAGTGACTGGTTACTCCGCCACAGCCTTTAGCTGCATAGGTAGTCACTATCAAAAACAAGTCAGTCAACATTCACATGGTGTTGGTAGTAACGTAAAGTGGTCAGTCACTTACAAGTGCAGCCTCGTGGCATGTTTTTCAACACCAATCCATGATCAGTATCATAGAAAGTATAACAATCACCAGAGTTATAATTCCTGGTTGGTCCTCCAGAATCACCGCAGGTTGTTGTTGAGTGCTTCACGATATCAATGATCTGAGTGGCAGAAGATGTGCTGAAGAAAGCACAGAGAACGATGGCGACAGTGTTGATATTGGTGAGAAGCATTTTGAAAGTTTGTTTGGTTCTTTGAAATGAGATTTTGTTTGGCTTTTTCAGGTTTTGTAGAAGGTAATTGAGATGATTTGTGAATGGGTTGAAGGAGAGGAAACTTGGGAATCTATCGAGCATTTATATTTCAACTTTGACGTAGCTTCGATGAGCTTACATGTACAGCGCGACATATTTCCTTATTTGGATTGATCAAAGGAAGGCACATACAGTTTGATCGACAAAAGATGGATGTGCAAGCAGCTCAATTGCATCAAAACGTCTCGATGATGAGCCAAGTCAACCAGCTACAAGCAAGATCTACATCAACCTATGGAGTCTTCAGGTGCTACAACCTTGTGAATTGGCTCTTTCGAGATCGATGAAGCGCTTCGCCAAGCTCAGTTCTGACACTTAGAAGACCCGTAGACCTCGCCCAGCTTTGCAAATCAGGTTACCTAGCCAAAGGCATTGGAGATCGCTAAATAACCCCCCTATTTAGAAGATATGCTGACGATGATGAGGGCAATGTGTCACTGCAGACAAGGAAAATATGATGACGCGGAAGCACTGATTTTAAAAGCGGCTGACCATAACGTACTGCTTAGAACATAATCAATTGGGCGTCTTGGAAAAGCCTTTTGTGAACATAGCAGCACACTCAAGTATGAAAGTCTAAGGAAAGTTACCGAAATTAGAAGACCTGGATACTTATATATTTGACTCCATTTGAGTTTTGGCTGCTGAGTGTGGCCATAGTCACTTGCCGTTCCTTAGTTGCACTTCAACGTCTTGATTAATCGACATCAATTGCTAGTCGTGAGTTCTGCAGAAATGCCCCTTACTGTAATATTATGAAACATAAGGAGGTTCTACGGAATTGATCGACAGGGCTGAAAATGTTGGTAATATTTTACGTACTCACTAAAATGCCTTGCATTAGTGCTGACAGGTAATGTAGACTTTGCTTCGACTCATAGTGTATCATGCTTATTGTTTCACAATACTACCTCTCAGATTGAAGAGATCGTTTCGTAAAAACTGACAGGATGTTTATTTTCACTACTAAGCAAGCTTTACAACATGTAGATTGCGAAGATTTCGTCGGATTTCAAATAAAGCTTGAGAGCGAAGGTTTTGATAACGAAGAGATTGCTGAGCGACGAGCGCGATGGAGGATTTTTTCAAGCAAAGTAGACTTCCATCTTGATGAAAGTATTAGATGGAGCCTTCTTGTACGCATAAATTGGGTGGTTATTCAAGGGTCTTTAAGCAATAGATATAATTACATGCTCGAAACGACGCGACAACACAGTACAGGAGAAGGTATCCCGGTATTGTCAGAACCCCGATACTAATGAGGACCAGCTTACTCTTATGCGCAGTGAAGTAGTGGAGCTCTAATAGTAGGAGCTCTAGGAAGAATTAGGAACAAAGAAAATGAAGTATGCTCAAATGGATATAAATTTAAAGCTTTGCAATTAAGATTAATACATGCTCTATATTCTGTTTCTATGTTCTATGTTCTATCTAATTTCTATAGTCTATAATATAGTACTTGACTACTTACTTGGGAGCAGGCCACGAATCACGATTCCCACCCATTTATAATTACAAGGTATGTTACTCTTTTAACCTTATACCAACACCAGCTTAATCGTTATCCTTGACATCAATGATAGTCGACTTGAATTTCCTTGCAGAAATCTTTCGGTTGAAAAGAATGTCGGTTTCACGGTAAGAGCGATTTTTGAGCTCAGGGAGGAAGAAGTAGGCCATGACCCAACAGACAACAGCGGTGCTTCCCCATACAAAACCGCACTTTCCTGCAAGATTCCATCCGGTTGAGTTGAGCATTTGTGAGGCAAGATAAATCATAGGAATCTCTGCAACATAGTAGGCAGCACGACCAACACCAGTGCTCAAGGCACGAAGACGGACAGAGGATGTCTCAGCGATAATGCTGTATGAAATTGGCCCCAGACTTCCAGCGAAGACGAATGAAATAATTATTCCCAAGCATGCTTGAGCGTAATTGGTCGAGTTATTCTGTGGAATGGAGGCGCAGATACCGAGAATGAAGAGCAAAGTGACGTTAGTGGCTGTACCCCATAGATAAATTGTTCGACGACCGAATCTGGCTGTAAGAGGCCAGGAAAGGACATTGGCAACCAATTGAAGGCATGAGTTGATCAAATTAAGCTTGAAAGAAAAGTCTGTGGAGATTCCGGCTTCTAAACACATCAATAGAATTAGCTAACTATGATTTCATATTTCAAAGAGAAGATTATCCACTTACGCTCGAAGAAAAAGGTAGCTTGATTGGCAATAAGATTTCCGGCAAAGTTTTGTGATGCGTAGATCAAGCAAGTGATAATAGTTCGTCTCAAATCAGTACCTCTGAAGAGGTCAAGAAGAGTTGGGTCCCCTCCTATTTTCTTTTCGATCTCGACGGTACGCTCCATCATTGCAATTTGACCTTCAGCATACCCTTCGGATTTATTACCAAGACGCGTAATGGATCGAATAGCTTCTTCCTTGCGACCCCGTCGTATCAGCCACCAAGGCGATTCTGGTGCGAAAAAGATAAGAATCAAGAGTGGAGTCTGGACAAATGAGCTTTTACATCTTCGGAATTTCAAATGGAATACTTACGGGAAAAAGCCATTGCAATGCAAGAGGTGCCCTCCAGGCCCATGTGCTATTCTTTTTGTTGTAACCATAAGTGGCAGCGGCGACGATGATACTGCCAATAGACCAGGACATTTGTAGGGTGGCAGTACATGCACCTCGAAGCGAGAGAGGTACGACCTCACTTGCATATGCTGGAGCATTTGCGATAAAAAATCCCCAAGGGACACCTTCGAAAGCTTGACCGATTGTAAGTACAGCGAGAGAGTCGGCCTAAATTGTATCCGTTGTTAGCTCATTGAGGCTTGCAAATATTGAGAAAGGAAGCATGCGACTTACGAAGAAGGAGATAAAAATCGTGGCATTCATCATGATCAAGCCAAGAATTGTAGTCCAACGGTAGCCAAGCCGATTGGTAACAGGGCCAGCCAAGAAGACACCAACGAAGGCACCGCATTGACCTGCCTGAAACAGTGCACTTTGCCATTTTGTTTGGACGGCATATGATCCATCAGCTTGTTGGATACCGTAAGTTTTCTGGAAAAAGCCGAGTGCAACGAAATTGCCATTCAAGAACATGTCGAACGATTCCATCACCTAAGTTGTATTAGAAGAGATTCTGCGGGACATTGGCATAACAGTTGGGGACTCACGATAGTGAAACAAAAGGTAAATGCCCAAAAGCAAGCCATGGGATGTTGTTTTGCAGCCTCCCACATACCCATCTCATGCTCTCGATTCTCTCCTTCGAAGGCATCGTTCATAAGATCCTTATCAACTAGGACTTCGTCATGTTCCAGGTTATGTGCCTTCAAGCTTTCAATGTCGCCCTTCTCCCCGTGCACATTGGTTCCAGTCGTCGCCATTTTGAATGTGGTTTCTGCAATGTTGTTCCGTCTTTGCAAAGTATGTTCCCAAAGCTTAACAAATGGACAGAAGATCGGAAGCTCGGCAGCTTCAATTCAGATGCGGAAAGAGCACAGTAGAACTTTCCTATCGCGTATAAACAATGGCGATTGACAAAATAAATTGCTCGTTCTCGCTTTCATACAGAATATGGAAAGATACCTGGGTACATTGGGGGAATTGGGACATTATATCCTGTTGATCTTTGCATATCCGGAAAGACGCTTATTGGTGGTAAAATCGATGCTGCATGAGACAACTCTACCGTCCGGGTCCGCCCCGCCCCCCGTAGCTTCTTTATTTGTCTACCTACATGATGCTTCAACAGTAATGCATGCCAGAACCAATTAGGAGCAACGAAGGGAGTTTATGTGAAATTGTATGCGCACGAATTGAAATTGGTTAGCTTTGGCAGGAAACTATTCTCTTTGAGAAGTTACGCCCCGCACCCCGTACTGTCAAATTAGGTTTCCCCCAACTACGCTAACTTCTTGTGTAAAACTCCCCCGCGCTCCACCCCGGGCTCCGCCACTGTCAATCAGCTTTCCTCAGTCACAATCATTGTTCCGTTCCATGCTTGCGACTTGCAAGCAACACACAATTTGGTATACACGAGATGCTGGAATAAATGATTGGAAATTCGAGGTGCAGAAATTGAGATTTCAACAGGGAATTCTGACAACGCGTGTGTGGACCTACGTGGACAACGTCACTTCTCCTTCAAAACAAAGCGAAAAGGATTTGCCTCGTGCGGAGAAGTAACCGACGATCAAAATGGGTTGCCGTCGATCGGAAACATGGAGAAAACATGTATACAATTGTTTCCACCTTACGATTCTTTTATGGACCTCTAATCAATCTGACGGGGACGCAAGCGGGGAGATAACCACATGACTCTTTCACCTAAAGTTGTGGCCGGAGCATAGAGAGAATTTGAGATAAGCTATGAGTTATGAGTGATGAGTTATGTTGTAAGCTTCGGAATCCGAAGTTACCGTAAAATGGGGCTCGCAATTGAACAGTTGTAGCGCGCAGATTTCCAAGGACTGTGGAACTAAGCTTTCTTAAAGTCAATTCTAACGGGAAGGTGCAAAGCTTTTCTCAACGATTGAGAAAAGGGTTCACATCAGGCAAAGATAATGGTGAGTTCTTGGTCGTCCGAGTCTTAGATACGATACCAGTATAAAATATGAGGGTACGTCAATAGTATTGATGTATGATGCGATGCGTTGCGTATGAGAGATATTCATGGTGGAATGAATAATGACTAAGAAAGGTACGCAACGTTACTGGATTGATCAAATTCCGAGTTTATAACCTTGGGTACCGTAGCCAGTTCAATGAACTTCAGCTGATTCGACGAGTGCTCGCCCCGCCCACCAAGATAACATGTCTGGCTTCTGCAACGTGTTAGCTCCGCTCCACCTAAAATCTGGGAAAGCGCTCCGAATGCATTATACAACTCGTGTCTTGTGTGGGTACGAATGTAACTCCGGAGAACATTAATTTGGGGGGATAGTGGGGGGCGGGGAATACTAGTGTGCCAGGCAATCCCGCCTACCTCGGCTCCACGGTTGTTACCCGACACTGACATGCTTCGACGAAAGATGTATCGTGGAGTACTAGGTAGGTAGAAATCCATCACGTGGCGTGGACAAATTGCCTTGATCTTGCTTTCCGCTCCACTTGGAGAGCCGAGATCTGGGAAATCCAATTTTGTTCGTCAAACCAGCGGTCAATGCCGAATACTAATTTAGTCGTATTACTCACAACCAACCATTTCTCTGGAGACTTTGGCAAGTTTTAATCTTCGCTGTGTAGAATAACAATTTCCCCACGGCCTGAAGCTCATCTTTCATATGTATAAATCGTCGACTGGAACTTCCAGGTGGTTATCTACCTTTCCAAGCAACCGCTTGCACTTTCCATTTCTATTCCTGCGTATGCTGTCACATTGACAGTCACACCATTCTTCATGATAGGAAAATTAGAAATTAAGATAAGAGAAAGAAGTGGATCGTGGATCGATTTCGTCGATTGTTGAGATTACATTTCACTGGGTATGAAGAAATGTGTGCCGTCCATAAATAATGAACTAAAGATTTTGATCCCTACCTTTGCCACATTCTCAATATGCGATTTCAAACGGAGTTCTAGCTTGAGTCTGCTTCCTTCTCTCCTGGGGTGATGCATGAAGAGACTTCGGAGTTAATATTTTTGACTTACTTCAAATCCTGGGAGCAGACAGAAAATTTCGGGACTTCCGCAACATTTTTAGAGCTAGTACTTCTCTCCAAGTTGATAATTATTCCTCTTTCACGGCGATGTTAGTCAACTTGACAGCTACTTCTAGGAACTCGGATTCGAAGGCAATTTGTGGCGCACTCGATGGAACTTTTCCAGCATGCATAGTTCCCACATTCGCAAGAACACATACAACACAATCGATTTCCTCATTCCACCAAAGAGATCCGGTAAATCCAAGTACGCTTCCATTATGTCCAAGCCAATTCTTTTGTGTATGAGGATTTCCGGATTTAAAGATCCCATGCCCAATTTCCTTTGATTCTGTGGCCGGCTGCCATATTTTGAGAAAATCCATAGATGAGGGACTAAGCAGCTTTCCATCCCGGAGAGAAGTCGCAAACTTGATAAGGTCACAGATTGAGGAGATCATCCCACCGGCTACCCATTCTACTGATAGATTTGACTCACTTGCATTAATAAGATCCAGTCCTTTCCAATTATACTCGGAGAAACATGGACCTACTCCTGCAGTATTGCGAAATATATCTGTAGCATAATGATATCGGTGTGGTATATTTTCCTTTCGCAATCCCACCTCTTCAAACTCTTCCAGAAATGTATCCATTAAATTTAGAGGATCGAGTATTTTTCGACGGATCTCGCTTTCTGCGGAGTGACCGGTAATTCTCTCAACAATCAAACCCAAGAGAGTATAGTTTGTGTTAGAATAAGAGAAACGACCAGTTTCAAGCCTGGATGGCCGTCTAACATACTCTAGAGTATCTTTCTTGCCCCAAATTGTTTTCGGGTCCAATTCTTTACCTCTCGCTTCAGTGATCCAGTTCAAATCATCTTCCCAACTTTCGATACCAGCAGTATGACTTAGTAAGCCGCCAATTGTTGCATCATTTGCATTACCGATGCCATCTAAATCGCCCTGGTCTAGATGTTCATTGATCTTGTCCGACACATTGAGTTGACTTTCTTCGATGAGCTGAAGGATTACAACCGCCACGAATACTTTGGTGATACTCCCGATTCCAAATACAGTCGAGTCATCGATCGGGATATTCTGTTCCAAGACCGCAAAACCAGCAGAATCCCGCCATATAATGCCTTTAGACGTGGCGATTGCAGCGGAGACACCTGGAACACCGGCATTGATGCCACCTTGTAGGATCGACCTCAAACTCTCTGATAATAACCTTTTCGCGTCATGATTGTTCTCCATGTTCAACTCGGTGGCTCATTTTGTTAAGCTCAGGATGTGTGATGTGAATTTTTTCGCACGTATATTGAAAACGAAGAGCAGGTGTTAAGTTAGCAACACCACAAGTATTACCCCGCATTATGTAAGCAGTAAGCAGAGCTCACCAGCTTCAGACAACTTAGGAGGCCATCGAACAATCATGGGGTAGGTTTCTATAGAACGGCTGTTGATTTTCGATTACACTATTTACTCAACTGCGGATGTCTTTTGTCTCGCGATCAATAGCTTCGCGGTGAAAATAATAGGCCGATAGATATATATACACTAGGCGCTGACCTCAAAAGCTCATGCTGGTGATGGAGAAAGTGGCCATCATGGAACAAGTGCTGATGAACAGTGTGATATTCAATATACCGGCTTACTTGGACTTGGTGGTGGTCTCGGAGTTTTTCCAGGCTGGACTGATAGTGTCGGGGAGGAAATGGCAGACTCAAGAATACCTCGAATATTTGCAGAATTCTTCCCATAGCCTGCTTCCTTCATGAATCCTGTAGACCGGAGTATTCAATATTGTTTCCTTCGCGTATCCTCATGGATCTACCTTGGATTTTCCTCTCGGTTTTTGGTTTTCGCTTTGCCCATTCGCCATTCGTTTTTGCGCTCGAAATCTGGGAGGACTTCGAAGGGAGGGACCACTGCAAGAGTTTCATGGTCACCGTGCACATTTTATGTATCTGCCAATTTTCCAATTCTCAACCTAGGCCCCACTAGTTGGTTTTTTGACGATTTACTTAGAGCGTGTTGTGGTCAGAATCTACAATGATCTAGCACAGAGTTTGCGAAGATAGGGAATAATGGAGTATGACCTGCTATAGTTAGTGGAGTTGCTAATCTGCCACTCTCTTTATTCATCAAATTCACTGTCCGATAAGAATTCTCCAGCAACTCGGCTACTGAGTCTTGACTTGCTTGGTGTGCCTAATTACTGGTATTCTCAATCGTCTGGCAAATCGATCATTAATTCACTTGTGTATCTCAACACTTGTTCGTCGGATACCGCCGACAAGCTTCGGGGCAACTCGATACTCACTTCTCTGTAGCTTCAGTGAAAATCCGAGAGAGATTCCGTACACATACTTCAAATATCTTACTCAATTTGACCACAACACATTATAACACCTTCATCTTTCATTTCTCAAAAAGTTCTTGGAACGCTTCATTCCATCGATTTACGATAAAGTCTCTTTCAATATGAAGAATTTCCCATGATGATTCCCAAGAACGTACAGTTCTTCGCCAATCATGGCACCTTTAAACCTTCTCGGCGAATGGGGATCACTTTCGACTCCCGTGGGCTTCCCAGGGAGAAGTTATGCGTCAATCAAGCCCACATGTTGAAGAAGATGAATGATTTTGACGGGGATTGATGAGATATTGGGTCATCGAATGATGGTGACGACTCATAGACTTGAGAATTTGGAAAGGAAGCTTTGTCCCTGCCAAGATAGTAAATACCGAATTACTGCTTTTATTCAATGCATGGTAATCTGGTGCAGTCGCGCAGTAAAAATCATCCTAAGTTCAAACCCTCCCACTGTATAAATTATGGTAATTTTCTTGGGCGGGGAAACAATTGTCGTCGTGGAACATTTTGGTCGCACCTTCATCTCTCCGCCCAAGCACTCCCTATACCAGGACAACGGTGTTCAACAGTTTTACTAACCTTAGTCAAGGATCATATTTTAAACAACCTGAGTGAATAACTGTTCTCCTTTTTCCTCCCTTTTTTAAACATCTTATACCATGATAATTGAATCAAGAATAGATGACTGAATGTTCCAAGTTCTCACGCACCTCAACCTAAACTTTAATGCTCCTTTTATAATTGGAAAAAGAGAGCGATTCTTTGGAAATAAGATGCTAATAACGTTTTTCAAGACATTCTAGATATATCTCTAAGTAAGGGAATGTCAATTTACTTTCAACATAAATCCAAATATCGAGGAAACCATGGTTAAAAAGACTGTTGGATCAACTTCAAGCGGCAACTATGAAACTAGAAACACGCTCGAGTGGGGTAAGCGCGCAGAGGCATTGCCTTTACCACAAGAAGTGACCTACACCGCACAATCTAACAACTGAATTCGGGCGAGATGAAATGACAACATGATATTCGATAATCTGACAGAATGCTCGGTGACGTAGTTGGTGAAGGCCATGTTGCTAAACTTCCTCCTCGGTGTTACTTTCCAGCATCTCTTTCATTGCTCAAAAGATAGTTTGACCTCCTAACAATCAATTAGTATACCTTCCACAGATGTCCCATCATGGCCATCAACTTACCATCGACAATCAGATCAGCTCCAGTAATATAACTTCCCGCTCCACTACATAATAGTACCAAAGCTCCACTCAATTCTTCTGGATTTCCCATCCTACCGATTGGATTTCTGGATGTCCAAATATTCCTTGCGTCTTCTAATCCATCACCTTCATTGAGAATAGTATCCATGTAACCAGGAGAGATGGTATTCGTACGGATACCGTATCGAGACCACTCAGCTGCAAGACATGATTTCATATGAAGTAAAGAAGATTTGGAGACATTGTAAGCGATTTGAGGTTGAGGATAATTAACAGTATGACCAGATATCGCTAGAAATTGTTGTCAGTGTACACTCAATCGTTAATTGACTACTTAGAAATTGCGGAGACAAACATGCAATGAACACAATGGAACCACCAGTTTTTTGATCAACCATTTTTCTAAATTCAAAATTAGCATTACCACCTTAAAGCCAACACAGAAACATACTTAGCAACAGCTTGTGCACATAGAAACGCCCCAGTTGTATTGATCTCCAAAGTGCGTCTCCATTCATCGACACTTATATCGAGCGCATGCACACATCCGACAACACCTGCGTAGCAACACAATATATCAATACTTCCTAAGGTTGATGCTGTCTCATCGATAACTTGATTCAAAATTTCCACGTTTGTGACATCAACTTGTTTCAATAGGATCTTGGCACTAGGAAAGTCTGCCCTCAAGGCGGATATGCCAGGATGATCGTCTTTTGGACTGATATCATATAGAGCTAATCCACTAAGGCCGTGTTCGAGAAGGGCACGAGCTCCTTGTAAAGCTAGAGTGCCTGCTCCGCCTGTGACTAAATTGGATCGTTATGTAAGTGTTGTCGATGATAGTTGGGAGGGGGATGATACAGATTGCATTTCCTTTAACCGCAAATCTTTTGATAGCAGGATTCAAACCTGATGAATCCTTTTCAGTATCAGTTGAGGGAGGTGCTGAGTTGCTCAAGCCATTCGCTAGCTGCATCTGAGGTAATGTCCGATTGACTAAGGCATTTCTATTATATTTGTCGTCTCCCATGATGAAAGTATTGAAGAAGATAAAAAAGAGTTGAATCGTGAATGCAATTATTAGATATTTATAAGACTTGTGTTGTAAAATACATGTGATCGGATATGCGGATGGCCTTTGGGTGGTTGAGGATTCGTGGAGAAGTGGAGTCTGCAGGCTCTATAGCAAGCTGCAAGTATGATCAGCAGCATAAACTACTTAAGCGAGTTAAGTTATCGGAATACCAAAAAACGTGTCGATGATATATCATGGATGTAAGATTTGCTTAGAGTGGGATGCGCATTTCATCGAAGTTTAGCATGAGACTGCATCGAGCTTTTCACTGCCTTAGGCAGATACCATTGTAGCGTGCTACCTAATACTTTCCAAGAAAGTGTTAAAAAAACCTTGAACGGATGTATGAGGGATCTTGGTGGCCAACAGGGAATGCCGAAGAATATCCACAAGCACAATTCAGAGAGCCCCAAAAATTATCCTAGGTATTAAAATTATTACTGGACAAAGTATCAACAATTTGCCAACAGATTTACTCATTTCTACATAAGTAGAAGTATAAGATGATGATGACCAGGGCTAACCATTTGACTGAAAGGTGCAGCAGTATCCTTTTTGGCATCGGGCAGGATTCCACGACTTTTTTTCAAATTGAGTGATCGCGTTTGCACACAATGCTATTACCACCAGCTAAAGAAAGTACTTCGGCCACATTGACGTTGTTGTGGAAACCTCTTAAATCAGCAAACAAACAGGTGCTCCCTTTCCCAGTAGTCACCACATTCACTGGCTTTGTATCATGATCCTTTCTGATACTGAATTATTAATTCATACTTGGATGAACGGTGTGGCCACGGAGGACCAAGTACTTTGGTAAAGCAGAGGCGGAGATGGAAAATTCAGAGAGGTGAGATGGCCTAGAGTAGAAACGACGATTGGTGTTGGTATGAGGGCAAGCAAATAATGGAAATCGATAGCCCTGCTTGGAACACAACAGGGTGACAAGTTATAATGCTTGATAATCTGACGTCTGATCAGGCTTCTTTGTTCAAAGCAGTGTATGAAATTTTTCTCAATATGTCGTCTAAATTCGGTAGACGTTGCAATCCAACCGTTTCGCAACTCGATCTGGCCCCGCCCCTTTCTTGATATTCTGCATATCCACGTAGGCGACATTTGAATGAGGCCAGCACTACATTGCATGGTCCCGTTCGAAACGAAAGACAACCTGTCTCTGAGTGGACTTTTTGACATCGTTCATAATGTACACATCATTGTTGATGGTTAAACACAAATTTGAGATTCCAAAGGGAGTCTCTACCAACATTCAACATTTGTAGGCCTCTTCACAAATACGCGTATTGATGGAGAAATGCAGCACGATTGCTGAACAGGATCGATAGGAAATCATCAACACAAGCACTTGCCATGTGAGAAACCCGAATGCTTTCATTGTAGCTTGAATGGTATGGTGCTTGGTAGAGAGGAGAGAGATGACAACAGGTAATGCAGCAGATACAATTTCGAGACCCTTGGCGAATGGTAAGCCAATGATCTCTACGACGTATATCCGCGATATTTGTCACAATCCCTTCTTCTTATCCTCTTCTTTGGTGATGATTGATACTTGCAATCATTATAGAAAGGAGGGTGTGTGTTGTCATTAGACTTACTGAATATGTATAGCAAGCAAAACAAAACGAATGGTTTCGCAGGGTTATGAGGGTACATTTTGTTGAAGTTCTGTAATCCTACAAAGTAATCTTACAAAAGAAAAAGACTTTTTCCTTGCGGGCCGTGCCATTTTCATCTCCATCTAATGTGCGAGCGAGCGTGCCTCCGTGCGAGCTTTGCGACTATGTATCGAGGATAACAGCGATAACCGATATCCCTACTATGTGCACGGCCCTACTATGTGCACGCTCTTATTATTTATATAAAATATCATATTAAATTGAATTAAAAATCAAAAAAGCAATGAAATCATTTGAAATTTAAAATTAAGATAATTTGAATAAATTGATATAATATTTGAAAATGAAAAATCTGAAATTGTGAAAGATTATAATAATAAAACTAATAAATAAGATATGGAATTTTAATATAAGAAATTACTTATTTATTAATATATTTTTTAATAGAATCGAAAATATAAGTTTTATTTAAAGAAATTATGAAATTCTTTATATTATAATATGAAATAATTAAAAAAAATTAAACTTTTTATTGAAATTCTGAAATTATATTGATATTAAATTCTAATAATTTTTCAAAAGAATATTTATAAAAATTAATTATTAATATAATAATGAATTTATAATATTTGACTTTACTTTTCAATTATATAATAATAACAGATTTTAAAATCTTATATAAATCTATTAAAATCTATAATTTACCAATATTATATTGAAATAAAGATTTAAAAATAAATATCAAGAATTTAATTTGATATAATATTAATAATAATATAAGCTTTTGTTAATAATTATTGAAATTTTAGTTTTTATAATCTTTGAATATATATATTTCATTTTAATATTAAAGAAGAAAGTTATATTAATTGATTTTTGATTTAATAAGAAATTTCAATATTTGAACTTTCAGGATTTATTAATATTAAAATGATTTTTATTAAGATTTTCTTTTTTTAAAAATTAATTTAATAATATTTGAATTATAAAAACCTTTATTTTGAAATTGTTTATATTATTATAATAATTTCATTATTAGAATTTCATTATATATCATAAAAATAAGATTTAAAAGATTTTAAAAATAGAATTTTAAAAATAAAAGATTTATTTAAAGAATTTCTTTTGATTGGTTTATAATTTATATATTTTAATATTCAACATCATTTCTTTCAAAAAGACTATAATATTCAAAACTTCAATATTAAATAAAAAATTTAAATTCATTTTAAAATTCATTTTTAAAAAAACTTCAAATAATAAAAATAATTAGAAAATCTAATAATCTATATTAAAATCAATTCTTATTACTTTTTTAATTTTTTTGTTTTCTTTATAAAAGCATTAATATCAAAGAATCTATCAAAATATTTTTTAACTTTATAAATAAACTTTAATATATTTATTATTGAAAATTTATATATCAAAATTATATATTCTCTTTATATTATTATTTAATCAGTTTTTATTTTAATAATTTGAAATTCTAAAAAATCAAAATAAATAATATTATTGAATTCTGAAACTGAATTCTATCTTATTTTAATGATTTTTGAATTTTAAATTGAATTTTATTTTAATGAAAAAAAACGTGCATATAGTAGGGTCGTGCACGTAGCAGGGATATCGGTTAACGGAAACACCGCCAAAATGAAGTCCAACTTATTATCAATACTGAGTACAAGCACGTACAGTTGCTTGACCGAATATGGACTCGATCAAATCCTGTGATATTTTGTTCCTTATCTCCAAAGTTATCTGTCGTACAAGCATGTCAAATATATGTTCTCCATATCCAATTCTTCGTACTCATTCCCCCTCCTGCTCCACAAGTACGGAGTCGAGGAACTACTAGGTAAACAACAGTACAGTACCTACGAAAAGATCTTCTTCATAAGTAAGGGTCCATACCCAGCAAGATTTCTTTTGATTTTACCATCTTCACCATCTTCGCCATCTTTACCAGTAGCAGCCTTAATAATTGCGCCGATCTACCCATTTTTGCTTGCGTACCTATCCGATCAAAAGAGTTTCCAGCCCCATTTTCGCTATTGCATATGCAAAAAGCCTGTCAGCAAATAATCAAATTGTGCCCAATCAATCATATCATCCGCAGAAGGATTACCCTATCTCATACCACCAGCTGTTCACCGTTGAATTGTCTCGCCCATCGTTTTAATCCACCCACTGCATTGTGAAGATAATTCCATAGGCTCAAATGCCCAATTAATTTTGAGGCTATTGGGGTTAGAAAGTTCGAATGGCGGGTTTGAACGATATTCATAAAGTAAGGCGCCGGCCAAAATTTCGAGATGGCGAATTAGAAGATGGCAAAGTTCATAAATCACGATCAGGACGACATGAAGGAGAGGACGGAGTTACATCAGTTGAGCCTGATGTTTCTGAAGTCCGCAGACTCCGTCTAGAAAGACTCGAGGGGAATCCAACAAATCGATCGACCCGCAACAGTGCAGCAGCAACTGAAAAGATGCCCGCCGATTCAAGTACGACAGTTGATGCGACAAAATCGTCATCGAGTCATAGAAGAAGAAGACGACATCATACTTCAGAAGACGGTGCTGGACATCATTCGCGATCAAAAACAAGTGAGAGGGAGGAGAAATCGGGGGGTGATTATGTTTATGCTGCCCCAAGGGAGAGGCAGAGGGAGAAGGAGAGTGGAAGTAAGAACAAGCCTCGGGAGGCGACTAAAACGGAAAGGAGACGCCGGGACGAAGAGGATGAGTCTAGTAGTGATTCCGAAGACGATGATAACTCCCCAGTAGAACCTATGGATCCAAAGTCGAAGAAGAGAACCAAGGCTGTGGTTCCGGAGCAACCAAAAAGGTCAAGTTCAACTAGGAGGGTGAAGAAAGAGGATAAAGATAAGTCGCCTACAAACGGCTCCGCAGATGTAGGAATCTCAGGGTCGAAAAGTGCATCGCGTAGAACTAAAATCACTGCCGGTGATTCCGTGTCACGCCCTCCACTTTCGAGGTATGTATCTTCGCTTTGCGCATCTTACATTGTGGTTTAATATTAATCGCATTTGTATGTAGGAGTGCAACGACTCGTATTACCACGGAGCCTGCGCCAATATTGAGGAGGAGTAATACAACAGTGCCAAAACCACCAGCATCTGTCGCAAATACAACCACTTCACAAACATCACAACGGCGTGGTAGTTTTTTAGGAAGTTTCTTCTCATCCGGACCACCACCACCTCCTCCTCCACCCCCCGAACCGGAAAAGCTGTAAGTCATCCCATAAAATCGATGCGCAAAAGTAGTATCCTAATCATTACAGTGTCGAATGTCTCAC